TAATATTTTGTGGTTTGTTGCCTGAGTTTATAATGAAAGGAAACAATAGATAGAGGTTACTAAACAGAAAGATTTATAATTTTATTTCTTTATCCCATGGAATGGACCCCTGGCTTTTTAAGATGTTTTAGAGTTCTTTAAAAATCACATTGCTTTCACTTAAAACCTCTGGAATCATCTTAACTTTATAGATAAAGAAATCAAGACCCATAGAGAGGAGATATTGACTAAAGACATCCAACAGAGAACTAGATTAATTCTTGCACAAACTAACCTCAGACTTTCATTCAACCTTTCGTGAAGTTTTAATTTAAAAAAAAAATTACAATCTCTTGCTACTTGGATAATAGTATGAACTGTTGGAAAATTTTCATTCTCATGTGCTTTAGATTCTGACTACATAACCTATAAGCTGAAAATAATGTATCAGAACAGTAACAGATGTGTGCTTCTCTTTTCATGCTTACATACATTATTCTAAATGTTTTTTTTTATTTTTGTGTGTTAGGAAATTAAAAACTCCAAATTATAATTGTCATGCTCAATGTCAAAGAGCTGAGAAAGGAAACCACTAAATTTCAATAATTTTTTTTTGCGTCTCCCATGTCCTAAGCAAACCAAAAAGACTTTATGTTCTTCATTTTGCTATATGTATTATAGTTCCACAAATCTAATTAAACATAAATAACCACTAGTCTCAGTTTAGCCAGATTATTGTGTTCTGACTTATTGCAATAAAGTAATAAATGAATGCCACCACGAAAGAAAAAACACATTTTTGATTAATACTCCATGTTTATGTAAGCACTGAGAAGGCAGCAGGACTTGGGACTCTAATGATGTAAAGTTGTTGGTTTAATACTGTTTAAACCAAAACTTTCTTTTGTTTCTGGGTTAGCTAAAGAAGCACACAGTTGGAGTCACTACAAATAGGCCATGTCCTCTTTCTCTGAAAGGTTATTCTAAAGAGTAAATAGTCCTCAAAGAATTCAATACTTTCAGAGAGACATTACTCTTAAGTAAGCTTAATAATTAGGGTTTAAAAGGACTGTAACATGTAAGAACTATCATTTCTGCTCTTCTAGTGACTAGACCACTTGAGATAGTAGAACACTCTACTCTCCTAGAAAATAAGATATCTACATAATCTGACTGACATCACTAATATAGGGAACATTAATTGCACGGGGCATACTTGTCATTATTTGACTAACATCAATAGTAATGAGTTTTATAAATTCTTGAGCCCATTCCATGGAGTACCCATAATCTAGTTATTCTGGGTGCTTTATAAGCTAATGGTGCTTTTACCTACTACAAATATGACTGTGATTTTACTTATGCTAGCAAAAATAAAACTCTCGTCTGCTAAATTTGAAAAGAACAGTAATTACCACAAACTAAACATTCAGATTTTGCAAGGAATTACCTTATACAAAATACTGTATGTGACATTGTGGAAAATATTTAAAAGTCATGATCCTGTTCCTCCAAGAATATAGTTTATTTGATGATTCTTATCAGTAATTTAAATATGAAGAACTGTGTTAAATCCTATGATAAAGAATCAGGAGATGTTTTAGGAGTTTAGGAAAGCCTAAATCTAGATTATGATAATAACAGTACAAACATGTAAATTTATTAAAAAAAAAACATCAAACTATATTTTAAATTGCTGAATTTGGTAATTAGTGTTAGGTAAATTATATCTCAGCATTATTAGGAATCTAAAGGAAGAAAATATTTGTAATTAAAGAGCTTGGGAAATATTTTTCAGAGCTGATGTAGTCTAAACTGAATCTTAAAAGGATGAAGAGACTTTAGATCATAAGCTTGTCTGATGTCTAAAAGACCAAAATGCAAAGCATTTCCGAAAACTGGTCCAAACTATACCAGGCCTGATTATATAGCCCCGTGTTTCCATGTGGCCATATGACTGTGATACTTGGGGAAAGTCCTGACCAATCCCTAATGAAAAGAAATCTTAAAACAGTACATGTTTGTTAGAGATTTTATTTGTTTGGTCCTCAACAATCACCCCCTCCACTTTTGGGGGTCAAAATTAACAACTTGCTTCCATTCTGAGCTAGTGAGGAAAGTGTATTGAAAAAGAGTATACAGTCATAGAACATGTTACAATTGTCAGTGAATCCACTACCATAACAAGTATTGATAGTCATTCCCCTCTTTATAACTTCAAATTAGTAATACATTTGTTATTTCCTTTGTGCCTCACAAAAAAAAAAAAAATCTTTATATTTCCCACAAGAAAATTAAGATTGTGGGAGACTCCACCACCTAAAATGCTAAAGCCGTGCTGCAGGAAAAATCAAGCCTGTTCATAATAAAATGAAAGTATCTTTGAACAGTCACAGACCTGCTATTTCAATTGGGATGTCATCCATGATTTAAAAATTCATGTCACACCATAAGAACAAACCAACTGAAGTTAAGTAATGTTATTAATAATAGAAAAACAGAGGGATTTGTTTTTTTTTTTTTTCTGACGAGTTGATATGACCCTACTACTGACAAGAATAGCTCATATTTTAAGTAATATTTATTGAGAACAAAGTCCATAGGAAATTAAATTTTTGAATGAATAAACTTTTTTGCTTTTAAACAATATAAAAAATAAATTGTATCTTTCCAAACCAGATAATTTCTCAGATTATATAATTTAAAAATATGCACAATCTTAATTTTGAATTTAGAGCGTGTTTACTGTCCAGTTATTGGTCATCCTAAAATTTTAAATGATTTTCTTGATGTTCATCAAAGAAGAAATGACTTAATTTCTTCTTGCTTTTGACCCCATCTGACCAACTGCTCAGAATTTTTTCATGTGAACAATATTCTGTCGCGTTTCTAAGAGAAAGAAAGTGAATGAGCCTAGTGACCAGCAAAACAGAAGTAGTTTTGTGACATTGGATTAGTTTTCACCTACAATCAAATATTATCCTTATTTTAATATTTTGCATCCTAATATTGTTATGAACCTATCCTTAGCATGGGCTTGTGTTTCAGTCCTCCCTTCTGTGAAATGCAGAAGCAAAGAGATGTTGTTGTTTGTGTTTACTTATACTCCCACTGTACACATCTGGCTTCCATTGGAGAGCCCCTGACATCGCAGGGAACGGTGATCAAAATTCCACACTCTAGCTTCAAGCTGGGGGCTCGTAGCTACTGCAGCATTGAAAAGGAATCTTTTCCTGGCTTCTTTAAAATGAGCATGGTGATGGGATGGTTTAAGGGAAGAACACCTCTCAAATCACATGACCACTGCTGTGCTTCTGTGTGTCCTGCTTTCTTCATAACAGCTTGGCACTACGTTCTTTCCCTGTGTTGTTAGTGGACCTTTTTTTGTCTGGATGAGTGGGCTGGGGGCTGGGGACATAAATGAATGGTTATATATTATGCATGCATCTTTCACCATTAAAGTGATGTGCCTTCCCTTATCACAAATTATGATCATATTTAACTTCTGTGTCATGCGTGACTGAGCTGTTTCTCTTTTTTCTTTTTTGGTGTGAGTTTTGTATGTTATTAATATATTTTGACTTTTACACATTCAGTTGTTCATGTTACATTAAATGTAAGTTAAAATTTTTTACCAAAAGAGTTAGCTTTTCATTTGGAGCTGGAAGATTCTTCATTTCTATGTAGCATTTCATGTTATTATAACCTTTGGCTTTCAATTGTCCCTCTTATAATGAAGAGCTGACTTTAAACACTGTGCTATTCTTGTTATGACCTAAGTAATCACAAGGTAAGTAATTTATCTGTCTCTAAAGATTGTAGCTGCTTGTTAAAATTTCTCAGCTTTTTTAAGAGGCATTTTTACTTTTGCTCTTTACCATTTATTATGTGTTGTCCTTCTTTTGTTTCTGTTTCATATCTTAAGATTTATTAATTAGCAATGTGATCTTAAGCAAAAATTCTATTTCACATGTAGACACATGTCTAAATAAGTTATTTGATGTCTTGTATCTTTATTAGTAAATGAATGCATGTGTTTTCAGTAAGTCCTTTTTATTTTCATTTCCTCCTCTTATTTTAATAAAATACACTGTTCTTACATTAGTTTAGTTTTGATTCCTGTGGAAGGAAGAAACATTTGTCTATGCTATAAAATCAGTCAGCTGTTAACGGCAAAAAAATAACATGGTACAACAGAATGAAGTAATAGGGACTTTAAAAGTTAACTTCTTTTCTTCCCTTACAAGTTTAATGTAATCCCATAATCTTAGATTATTTAATTTTTTCACATGTTCCTTTCCCCAAGTTTAAACAAATAACAAAATAAAAACATGAAATAAAACTCGATACTCTTAACTTATCCTTTAAAACTAAATTCCATTATGTTATGCAAAAACCTTTATATTAAGATTTTTATAAAAGTAAATAAATACTATAAATATGGCATTATGTAACATAGAGTCATTCATACATTAACAGTAAAGCTTTAAAAATTATTTTCCTCGGGTTTTTTGTTTTGTTTTTTAGATATACACATTCAAAATCACTAGAGTCTTATAATCACTGGTTTAAAAAATAATTTCCCTCAAATCTGGTTCAACAGCCAATGTAACAAATGGGAAACATAAATGACACTACTTTTAGCAATTTGCACACCTTGATCAAGGGTCCTGTTTCAGAGAACTGAATTGTTTTCATTCTCCAAATGCCTCCCCTAGAGCTGTTTGAAATATGTGGCTCCATACTGAGGTATAAAAAAGCAATGTGGGTTTCTTAGTCTGTGTTATAAAGAACTGGGGTTGTTAATTTTTAAGCCATTTACAAAAGCAGGATGATTTTGTTTGCTTTCGTTTGGTTAGAAAATACCAGGGAGTTCTTTACAACCATTCCCATTATATACATTATCAAATGTATATAATAGACAGAGTGTAAATTTGTTAGAACATTTTATGAGATGATTTGAACTACTCATCTGAACTGCACTGTTCATTGTAAATTTCTTGTTTCTATCCATACACTAGCTCCACTCTAGATTGGAAGGGCTTAAAGATGAACTCTGGAGGAATAGAGGCTACGACTTAAGAGTAACTATTACTGACAAAGGAGCTACTTTCCACTCGCAAACATGCTTTGCGCGATGGGTTTGGCTCCTTCACATCTTGTTTCACATCTTGTTGAAGACTTTCTTGACTTCGTTTTACTTCTTTGAGCTGTTTTGTCTTTCAACGTTTTCTCTTTCTTTTCCTTATTTCTCCCAGATTTTCTTCTCATGCTTTTAGCGTTCACTTGTGTTCTTTGAGTCACTTTTACAAATGTAGTGTCTCTCTTTAATTAAGCTTGTCTATTAATTTGTCTGTTTGTGTGTGGTTTTTTCTCCGTTAAGACTGTAGTGGTAGAGTTACACTTGTTTTCATTTCATGGTATGCAAATTGCTTATTTATTTTGCAGAAGGTTCATTTGTTACACTTATCTTCCTGAGTATGAATTTTCAATAAGAAATAGTAGAATCTTCTCCATTTATACACTTCCCCCTTCTGTAAGTCCAAGCTTTCTTTTTTTTTTATCCTCCAGATGTTAATTCCTCATTCTTTCTCTCTGTCTCTCTCTCTCTCTATATATATATATATATATATATATATATACATATATATCTGCTTTTTCTCTTTTTCTTTTCTTTGTCTCATGTGGTTTTTTGGTTTTGTTTTGTTTTTTTTTTTTTTTTTTTTTTTTTTTTTTTTTTTTTTTTTTTTGCCTAATTTTATTTAAGTTACTAATTTCTTTCTCATTTGGTCCAGAATTGTTCTTCAATAAGACTTATAAATATAATAATTTTTATTATGGATTAGTGTCATTGTACTATACCTAAAAATAATTAAGCAAACTGAGCCAAAAGAGAATAACTAACATTTGTAATTTTTTTGTTTGTCTGTTTGTTTTTCTGTGTGTGTGTGTGTGTGTGTGTGTGTTGTGTATGTGTGTCTGTGTGCATCTGTGTATGAGCTCGTGCATACACACACACACACACACACACACACACACACGCACATGTCTTTCAATTTATTTGCTTTGGTTTTGATGTTTGCCCTTGTCTGCTCATGGCATTTTTATTATTATTTCTTTAAACATTAACAGTTTGTTTGTTTTTTTCAGGGAAGGACAGCCATAACCTACCCTAAGTTAAAACATTCCTTTCATAAATTGTTTCATATATTATTAGACTGTGTTAAGCTACAGAAAGTTCTTTGTTGTGTATATATCCATTTGGGGCAAGCTGCTGTGGATGGGAGGAAGAGGTGTGGACCTTTAATAAAGTTATATCTGAAATTAATAACAGTACCATTCAGCATTACCATTGAATACATCCATTTGGCAAATTTCAAAAGAAATATGCCACTTTAACCTAAATTTTTCAATAAGAACATAAAGAGGCCCTAATTGACAAATTATATCCATACCTAAAACTGGTTAATAAAGTAGTTGAATTTAACTCATTTCCAACAGAAATACCTTTCATAGCCAGTGTTGTAAGACATTATTATAATCGATATTACAAAGTTACTACTATCAAATGTAAATGCTACAGATAATTTTTTCTCCTTGTTAACATATATATATAATAAAATCACTACAATAGAATTTTCAATTTTACTTATATTTTGTTATTCTAGTCAAGACATACAAAATACCTTTTGATTAAGGATATAACTGAATTTACAGTATTGAATTTTTTCCATATGTAACCATCCTTCATTATCTGTAAAAGTTCATTTCAAGGCCACCATAGATAGCAAAATCCAAAGATATTCAAGTCTCATATTATACAATAGTTTATGCTACCTACATGCAGCCCAAGAACATCCAACCATATACTTTACTTTAAAGTCTCTAGCTTAATAGACAAGTGCTCTACCATTGAGCCATATCTACAGCCCTCGTCTCTATTTTTATAACCTAATGCAATATAAATGCTATGCAAATAATTGCTGTATTGTATTCCATAAGGGATAATGACAAGGAAATAAAGATCACATTTGCAGTACAGATACAGGTGATAGTGCTGATGTTTTGTGTTGTTGGTTTTCTCCTCCTCTTTTTTTTTTTTTTTTTTTTTCTTTTCCTCCTCTTTTCTGATCCACAGTGTGTTGAATCTGCAGATATGAAACCCACAGACATGGAGGGCCACCTGGACTGATCTCAAATACACATAAATTGCTTTGAGTATTATCTTTGTCCAATTTATAATATTGTACCTGAAATATTTTTCTTGAATTCATTCTTTTTTAAGTACAATGAATTAAATATATCTGGAAAATGTAATAGACTTTTACTGACATGTTGTGATAGCCAAGATAAATAAAACCTTTTCTCCTAACCCTCAGGAGCTTGCCCATTAAGCATACTTACCTGGCAGTCCGTGTAATGAGCCCTAAATTACTGAGTCTGTGCTCTTTCTGCAGGTCCAGTCCAGGTGCAGCAGCAAGGAGAACATTCTCAGAGCCAGTAAGTAGTCACCATTTCAGGTCGGCTGCCAGTCTGTAGCCATTGTAGCTCAGCAGAATAGAGAGCTAAAGAATGGTGATGTGCTGAAAAGAATGAAGATAAGCAATGATGAGTTTACATCAAGAATATGAATTTTACCACCATCTGAAAATGTTCTTAATATCAATATAAATAAATGTTACCCTGAATCTAATTAATTTTTGCAAGCTAAGTGGAATTTGATGAGCTCAAATTACTTAGGGTAAAAATTACTTCCTCTATGACCTTAAGGTGAGGAGCCTGGCCCGTTAATTGTCTCATTGCCAAAAGTGATCTAATGACAGACTACATGAAAATAACTCGAATATAAATCTATGAAAGCAGTAGGTGGGTATTAACTTGAAAGTCACTGAACTTCATTTTCTTGTTTTATAAAAATGAAACTGTGAATAGGTTTATTTAATATATGTATGTATGTATGTATGTATGTATTCTGAAAGTGAAATCCTATTGAAAGATTTCCCATTAAGCATTTTAGGCCTCTGAAGAAAAGTGCTGTATAAATGCCAATTGTTGTATTCTTTTTCTGTCTCTTAATAATTTAATAGCATCACCCAGTCTTTTTCCTAATGGTTAACCAGAATCAAGTTGGTCGACAAGCACGCTAATGGGAGTTTTAGTAAATGAAATAATTTATATTCCAGTAGACTGTCAGTGTTATTTAACAACCAAAGCATACTTGGGGGGGGGGGCTGGAGAGATAGCTCAGTGGGGAAGTGGAGGTGGGGGGGGGTAAGTCATAGCCATGCACACAGCTATAAGCAGCACTGTGTAGAATAGAGATTAGAGGATTGCTGGAGCTTGCTCAAACACCTTCTCAGACTAGCCAAAAGGTAGAAGGAAGGTTCAGGCACCAGGTTCAGGAAAAAAATCCTGTTTCAAGGGAATAAGGTAGAGAGAGTATTAAAGCAAGACACCCCGTGTCCACCAATGCCTTGGCACACACATGGATGTACACACCACTACTACACACATATATATATTCCACCACAAACACAAAGCTAGCACTAGGGAAACTGAAGCAGGGGAATTAAGAGTTGGAAATCAACTTAGGGTATAGAGTTTGAAAAAAAGGGGCATAGGGCATATTTAAGAACTTCAAATATGTTAATGTGTGTGACTATATGATGAATCTGTTGACTCTGCTCAGACCCCTTGAGTGTTTGTTTGATTGTGATCTTTAGATAGTACTATGAAAATTAAATGCAGGGCTGGATTGTAACACAGTGATTTAGAATGCTTCTCTAGTGTTCATAACGTTCAGGTTCAGTCTACAGCACTGGGAAATAAATTAATTAATACATTTAAACAAAGGGCTGGAGAGATGGCTGAGCAGTTAAGAACACTGGCTGTTCTTCCAGTGAACTCAGGCTCAATTCTCAGCACCTACATGGCAGCTCACAACTGTCTGTAACTCTGTTCCAGGAAATATGGGTCAGACATGATAGTTGAATATTCACTAAAATAAAGCAAAATAGATAAATGAACTTTAAAATTGTATTTTATAATGTATAAAATCCACCAATTTCTAGTCCTGAAATTTTAGGCCACTGGGAGTAATTATGGTGATTAGAAACAAAAGTTACTTTTTGAGGACAGATTCCCTTGAACTTTGTTTACTATGTACCACGTCTTTAGTGTTACATTTCAGTCACTATCTTACTGTATTAGTGGCTTCTTATCAGTTTAGATAGATATCATAGTAGTCCAAGTATTCTTTATTGTTTACTTTTGATAAAAAATAGTCATATGGGTGGGCCTTGTTGCTCTTAAGGTCCATATTGGGGCTCAAGGAATATCATAAGTTCATAGTTTGTGATTTCTGTGAGTTTATGTCCTTTCATCTTAAACCATGCTAGTAATTCATGTTCATACCTATGGCCTCATCCAAAGTTCTTTCTCTAGACTCAATTTTTCATTATGAGGGGTGTGTGTCCATGTCTTTCCATGTCTGTGTGTGAACAAAAATGCTATGACACAGGTGTGTAGGTCAGAAAATAACTCTCAGGAGTCAATTACCTTGTTTCATTAATGTCAATCCCAAGGTTCAAACTCAGACCAGCAGTCTTGGCAGCAAGCACCTTTTCCCACTGAGCCATCTTGATGGCCTGTTTCTCTGAACTTAACTACGCTCTCCCCATTTCTTTGTTTAGACTGTTTATATCTCCCTAAGCTTCTTATTTTCCTCATACTACCATATTTCAATTATTTAGAAGCTATTAATGTTTACTCATTCAATACTAAATACTGCCTCTGTTCCTTTTACATCCTCCTCCATGCATAAACAACCTACCAGGTGTGTATAACCTATCTACCATTTTTGGATTCTTCTATGACACCTCTGAGTTTCCCTTAGTTGGGTGACTGATCCTTCTTGTATACCGCTAATCAGGCATTAATAAAGAAGATGTTGTGTCGCTATAGACTTCCAGTGCCCAATCTTACGGTATTTTCTCAGTTGATGTTACCTCTTCCCAGATGGCTCAAGCTTGAGCCAAGCTTGAAAAAAAAAACTTGACACAGCAGCTTTCCTAATCCATTTTTTCTGCTGTAATAAAATATCTATTAGATCACACACACACACACACACACACACACACACACACACACACACACACACACACTGGAGTCTAACTCTCCCTTTCACGTATTTCTAAAACAGCTAACACTCTATCTTGTGTGACAGAGTCACAAAGGGCTAAATCCTCCCCCTTCCTGGTCACCCTCTATCCCACTCCCTACCCACATACAAAGCACATAGAAGTACATAAAACAAGCTACTCACTAAGCCTGGTTTTTGTGGTAGGACCTCCCCTCTCCCTCAGAAACTGTTAAGACATCTCAATCTGTTTAACAAAACTGAAACCTCTCTTACTTGAGAAGCAAACCTCACTGTGTGCTCAGGTGTTAATAACTTCCTGATAAAAACTCACCTAAATGAAAATTTATCTCAACCTCTCTCAAACCTAACCTCCTCTCACCTGCCTCTCTAAAAGTACAACAACCATAAGCTGGATAATTTACAAAAAGGAAAAAATTATTCATTGCCTTTTGGGAAATTGATCAAGTTATAGGCAAATTTGGTGTCTAGTGAGTGTCTGGTCTCTGCTTCCAGCATAACTATTGTGAACCTGCTTTCACTGTGACCTCACTGGGCAGAGCTCAGCCCATATGCATAACACTAATTCTGGGTTTCCAGAGTGTAAATACCTCACTGCTTATTTACCTCCAAAAATATCCCCACCTTGTTAATTCTTCTATTTTGGTAATTAAATTTCGATGTGGACTATAGAAGAGACATAAACATTTAGTAAATGCAACAGTGATGGATGCAAAAACATTCATTTAAGGTTGTTTAGTACTATTAAATACCAACAGTACAAATTTTATCCACATTTCTTTTGGGTTATCTTTCCTGTCTCTGGAGCTAATCCTAGGCATTCTGTGATAGCAGGTTTGAACTGCTCTTGAACCAAATATTTAGTCTGTTGAAATATTAGGTTATAATTTTAGTGAGTGGTTCCCATCTAATGTTTCCTTTAGCTTCCTTAATACCTTCTTTTGTTTGGCTCCTTTTGTAATATCCACTTCTTTATGAAACATCAATGGCAGTTAAAGTTCTATTCCTAAGTTAATAAGTTTTTTTGCATGTGTGAGTTCAAAAACCTTATTTCTAAACCATTTCAAAATCATGGATTAATCCAAAAGCATGATGTCAGAAAATGTATTAAATTAAATTAAATGGCCTATTTTACTGACAAACTCAGTACTCAGCAGTAACTTTTGCTATCTGTGTAAATTTTGCCTCAGACAAAGGATCATATTCTTTTCTTTTTCCATTTTTGAGACAGGATTTCTCTTTGTAGCCCTAACTGTCCTGGAACTTGTTTTGTAGATCAGGTTGACCTCAAAATCACAGTGATCCACCTGCCTCTGCCTGCTGGGAGTTCTGGGGTTAAAGGTATATACCACCACTGTCCCGCAAAAGATCATACTCAAGAAGTGGCAATTTGTGATAATTAGATGGGCCCAGAGTAGGAAGTTACTGAATTTTAATTCAAAGCAATGTTTGTGTTTGTTAACAAGGAGAGAGATTTAATTTACAAGTGTTACTGATAGCCCACCAGAGATGACCACTGGTGCATAGTTTATAGCCAACTGAAAATCTTTTTTCAACTAACTGAGGCGACACCCAAATGTTTGGGGATCTAGGTGTGGACTCCAAGTGTCCAGAACACAGGATCTATAAAGTCAAAAACCATGCCTAGGCAACTGGATAGGTTGTAGGGGGATTCACAAAAGTAAACAGTTTTAACAGAACCTAAGATGAGCAAATAGGCAATTTGACAGAAGCTAAGTAAGTTAGCTAGGATATCCTCACCTTTGGTTCCTAGAATAGAGTTGGGTAATTTTTCATGGGATTGTCCATCAGGGAGATCAAATTCTGGTTAAACCTGAAATGGCCTCAGCAAGAAAACAGGATGGAGGAACCTTTGCACTGTCTTGCACTATCACACAAGAACTGTCAAAGTCATGTAGGAGTACAGCAATTTCACAAATCTGTGACCCTACTGCCTGTAATAACTACTAAAACCAGGTCTTGTCTTAATTGTCTTTTAGTTACTGCCATGAAAAAGCTTTAAAATGTTTAAAAAGTCTTCTAGTAATGGGAGATTTCCTTCCCTGAAATGAATCTTATCATAGGTAATGGATTTTACTTAAGACAGAATCGTAACTTCTCTTTGGAAACTGTTATGGTTTGAATCTGAATTGCCCCTGTAGGCTGATATGTTTGAATATATATCAGCTGTTATTAACAGCGATTCTAAAAGTTTATACTCTATGAGTGCAGTGGAAAGTTTTGAGATAGTGGGTGAGTGGATTGGAATACTTGGTGTGCATGCAGGAGGACCTAAGTCTGATTGCTAAAGAAAAGAAAGAATAAAAGCTGGCCATGGCCC